GTGCCGAGCGGCTCCAGGGCTGAGCCGCAGGGCCTTAGACACACACACACGCACAGAGAGCAAGCCACAGTCCCTGCTGCCCTTGATCTGGCGGCGCATCCACCCCGGAGCTCTCCCACCCACAGATCCACCCTGCTGCCGGGCTCGCCCTCGGGGTCTGAGCGCAGCACACACACAGCCCCAGCCGGGCCAGCTGGACACCAGATCTCTCTGCCCAGCACCGACAGGAAGAAAAGCTTGCTCAGCTGCCCCAACCCCGACACGCACTGACCATAGGTAGCCACCAAGCGGGTTGTGCTTCTTCTGGGTTCCCCTGGGACAGACAAAGAGTCCTCGCCTGTCCTGGGTACCCACTAGGTACCTCCCCCCTCCCCCTCCCCGCACTTTCTCCAGATGGGGGTGGCTTCTCCTGCAAGAGGTACCCGAGTTTCCTTCCACACGCACGCACGCACCCCAACCTGTCAGCACAGAAAGCCCAAACAGACTTTTTTTTTTCTCCTCGCTTTCACTTCTCTCCAGCTTCCCAATAAATTACCCCGAGTTGCCCCAGTCCTTTGTATAGACATTTCAGGCCTCCAGACGTTGCACATTTCAGATCTGGCAGCGCCGAGGCAGGAATATATCATAAACGTGCATCGCACATGTGGTATTGATTAAATATTTCTACCACGCAATTTCGCGTCTGACAGACTTTAGGTTGCTGGGTTGTGGATTACAGAAAGTATATCTATTGCTTCGGGAAAGTGAAGGGGGGGGGGGGGGCCTCTTTGCTGCCAGCCATCTGAGCGGTGCCTGCAGTAATGTAATAACCTGTTTTATAGGTCAAGCAAGACCCGTGAAGATAGGAACCCGGGACTTCGCATTAAGCCACCTCTCTCTCTTTTTTTTTTAAAGGGAGATTCTTCGTTAGGGCAATGAAATGTTTCTGTTCTTTGTTCTGCAGGGCCTCTGTTTACAAGTGATTTATGAGGATCAGCGCAGGAGTCTATCTGCCAGGAAGAGATGCCTGGTTGAGCCTGGTCCACGTCTTGCACCGAGATGTCTATTCAAACAAACACACAAACAAAACGCGGGGGGACCTTTCACCGCAGCTAACCCCTCGGGGTCGCCGGGAAGTTCCAGATCACTCTGATGCTGGGAGAGATGTAGCCGGGCACCAGGCCCAGCTCAGCAAGTCGGGAACGAAAGGGCGGGGGGGGGAAACATTTTTCTGATTTCTGCCCTCCAAAACCCCCTCAGATGTGCGATGTAAAAAAAAAACAAAAAACCCTGCAGTTCCACCCTGGTGCAATAGAAACAAAGAAGGGCCAGATCCCGAGCTGGGATCAATCCATCTGCCTTCGTTTGCCTTCTGACCCGCGGAGTCAGAACCTCTCCTCTGTGATGTGCGCCATAAAAGCGCACTTGGGAGGCTTTCGGCTGGCGGTCGCCATTGATCCGCTTCTTTCCCCGCGCTCTCCTCCTCATCGATTTCCGCGAACAAAGATGCACATGAAAGGATGCGCATTGCCGCGCGCCCACGTGCTGCGGCCGGGCCTGGCGGGTGCTCCCAGCTGCGCTCCCTCCCAGCCCTGGGCGCGGGGCTCGGCGGGGGCCGCCCTCACCCACCCGGCTCCCCTCTCCCCACGGCCGGAGGTGGCGGGCACCGCTGTCCTCCCAGGGGCCGGCCCCGGGCCCAGAACACGCGCCACTGATGATCTGGCCCATTAAAGCTGGAGCAGGCTCACGAGTTTCACACTCGAGGTCAATAAAGGCTAATGGGGGGGGCCTCCGGCGAGTGGCCCGAGAGGTCCCCCTGCCTAGCTGCAGGCAGTCGGCTTAGGCAGGCCCCCTTTGTTTAATTAATTGCAATTAAAAGGCTCTGCGCTCATTTCCTAGAGGGCTCCCGAGGACTGATCCGCGGAGCGCGTGGGAACTGAGCGGAGGCCTAGGGGCCGTAGACTCACCTGCGGACTGGCCGGCTGCGCCCGGGTGTTTGTGTGGCCGTGATTATTTATTGTGAGGAAGCAAACATTGCTGCTGCTGCTGCGCCAGCGGTGCGCGGAGGGCCCGGGCGCCTGCGAGAAAAGCAAGCACTTGGCTGACAAATTTGCGTTCTTGAGGGTGTGGGAGGGAGCGCGGGGCCTCCTTTTTTGGTAACGAGGGAAATAGTGCCTGGGAAGGGATGAGCCGCGAGAGGGGTGATCTGAGACATCAGCCAGCAGAAGCATCAGCCTCTGAATACACAACGCGCTCGCACGATCTGAGATTTGGACACGTAACGCTGCAGACCACTGATTTGCTATTTTCTTAATTCCCGCTCTTCTTATCCCCTATGAATCAAACAGTCTTTTGTCCTTCAGAGTTTGATTTGATCGCTACTGTTCACATTTCACTTTTGTATTTTTCTCTTCCTATACCATTACTCATTGAGTGCCCCGTGAAATTACAATCGTACATTTTCAACTCAGCAGCCCATTTGCAGTGCAAAAATAGGGTCTAAATAATGGCTGAATTAGCCCTACTGGACAGTTTCAGATGTAACACTCTGTAATAATTATATTGCAGGCTGGATTAGGATGCTATTATCATAATCTGGACGTTTACAATTATCTGTAATTTGCAAAGATGCGCCAGGTCTTGATTACAGCAGTTTTTTTTTTTATCAAGCTAACCATCACTAAACAGTGACAGTAATAACAGCTAATTTTGCTGGCAATATAAGAGGTGCTGGGGTGTGCAAACAATTTCACACCTGGATGTGCTCACTCAACCAAGAATATAGCGAAAGAGCTTCTGCCCTGAGACTCAGAAAAATATTCTCCACTGCTTCTGTTCAGTATAGATTTCTAGACCCTGATCATTGCTTAACAGATTTGCACTGGGGGTAAGTTTTTTTTATTTCTTGCCTACTTCAACGCACCGCTCAGCTTTGTCTGTTCACACGTTCGGGGTTACTTTTGTCATTTCTAGAGCACTGTTTTAGAGAGTCCGACCTCTGTCCTGTTTAGTGGGGTTATTTCTACGTAAGCAATAAGATTCGGGCTTGTTGTTCTGGAATCTGTAACGGGAGCTACAGGGAAGTCTCTTTTGCTGCAGGTATCTGTGCACCTCGGCTCGCAAAGGCGATCCGGGGGATTTGGTTTCTGGTTAGCTGTGCCGGAGGGAGGCTGTTGGCTGGGCTGGCAGAACCAGGCTTGGGAAAGGCGAGTCCCTTTGAGGGGAAGAGAAGAGCTCACGGGGGCTTTCCGTGCAGCGAGGGGCTCTGCTGGCGTGTGTGCCTCGGGCAGGAAGGTGCCACCAGAGGCAGGAGGGACTGAGGACCTTTCCGCCCGAGCCCAGTGCGTTGCTTATTACTACCGCGCGACTGGAAGAACCTGGGATCAGGGGAGCCTTACTTCTTTTGGGAACAGGCACATCAGCTGCACAAGTCTCCCCAGCTTACTTTCCAAAGCTGGTTTGGGGCAGCAGGGCAGGGGGGCACCCCCGCGGTCTAACTGCGGGACCAGGGTTAAACGCGCCCAGAGGTTTTAAGACCAATTCCCCCCCCCCCCCCCCCCCCCCAAATATACAGGATCTGAACCCAACGGGCTGCAGAACAACTATGCCACGAAGCCCCGGGTTTAGGCGGAGGGGAGGCATGTTCCTGATCTATCTATAGATGACGCTGTTTCATGAGAGTCTCCTTTGGTGGCAGCTTCTTAATGTCAGATGACACCGTTTTTGCTCTCATTTGCTCACCATATTCCTCCTAGAAGGGCCTGCTTGTGACACCTCACTTCTCTGGATCAGGTTAATTGGCATTAAAAATGTATCTTTGAAATATTCGGAAATTGCAAGGAAAGCAAAACCAAAAAAAAAAATAGTGTGTGGAGGGGGCAGCTTTTCAGTGCAGTCGCCCCCTCCGCTGCTTCCTGCAAGAAAACACCTCATCCCAAACACACGAATCCAGCCCTTCAGGTCCCTTGTATTTATAGATCAGGCTTGGAGATGCAGTCAGCGGCTATAAAAGGGTTAAGTATTACCCCGCGCAATTAAGCCATTGCGGCTGTAGCTTTGGAATCTGCAGGGGAAGGTCCCCGGGGGGTTGGGGGTGAGTGGCCCTACCAACGCGGCTGCTTGCTGTGCTTCACCTGGGTTTCCGATTCACCTGCATACACGGAGGCTTGGGATGTGTAAACTAGATTTTCCAAAAAAAGAGAGAAAAAAATACTGTTGGTTTAAGTGTATGGTAACTTTCTCTCTAACGTAATTTGAATAATTCAGTGAGCCCCACTACCAGCTGTACTTCTAAAGCCTCTTCCATTCTTTTCAGCATTATAATTTTGGTTAATTTTCAATTTTAGGTCCTACGTCTCTGCAATTTGTGTATGAATAACAGAATAATTTTCCTCTTTTGTTTCGCCTTTCCTGTTCCTGAATCTAAATAAAGATGGCTTTTTAGTATTAAAAGTGGAAGAAAATTACAGGTAATTATCTTTGACGGTAAAAACGCTGTAATCAGCGGGCTACATGAAAAATTACTCTAATTATGGCTGCATTTAAGAGAATGGAAAAAAACCTTCTTGTGGATAAAAACCTTAAATTGTCCCCAATGTCTGCTTCAAATTGGATGGCACTGCAGCTGGAGGCTTTGTTCAGAATTGATCCTGGGGAGCTCTGAACCCAAAGTTTCACAGTGGGAAAGGGAAAAAAAAAGAAAAGAAAACATTTTTCCTAATGTAACAATACGAATGGTAGAAAATGACAAGACTGATCGGTTTTAAACCATTCTGAAGACTGACTGAGTGTGGAAGTTGCTCAAAAAAAAAGGAGCTGGTATATTGGTAAGTAGTCTTTGCTTTGTGTCTAATTATAGTGACTGTCCTTTTGCACGACTGTATGTAGCTGTCATTATATGGAGCACTCTGAGTATCTCTATTGACTTCTGATAAATGGCTCAGTGGTTTCAAGGTTCATAATTTGAAGGATGCCCAGGTCTCTAGCCATTAATTCTCGCAGTATGGGGCATGCAGCTTGTGTGACGAAAGGACTTTTCATTTTCATTATTTCTCTGCTTTCCACAATATAGTAAGGATATAATTCTCCCTGGACAGTGCATTGTATACCTAGGCACCTTTCAGGGCTTTGCAAAACATTACACAGCTTTAATTGTCTGTCTGTTATTTAAAAACAAAGGAGGGCGCCTCCTCCTCCTCCTCCTCCTCCTTTTTCCCCCTTCCTCTCCAAACCTACTCGCCTAGGAAATAATGCAAAGCACCGAGTTTTACCTTGAGGGAACCCTCAGGTTAAATGACACAGTCATGTTTTTTAAACGTCAAAATGATAGCAGTATAATGCTGAAAACAGGCTAAGAAGCGACCGGGTGATTAGAAACATCCCCAATTGCCTGTGCAGTATAGACAGGTACAGGGGCTCAGGTTTATACCTTCAAAAAAAAAAAAAAAGAAAGAAAAGTCCTTGCTGGTACATTTATTGCTTTTCACGTCAAAAATGTTGCGGGAATCACTGTGTGTGCCTGCCGGTGTCTGTAGCCATAGCTCTATCTAGAGACAGAGAGGATGTGCTGTTCCATCTGCAGAGAAATACAAGACACACGGGCTTTTTGTGGCTTTTACTCTATATATGAAAGGAGACAAAAACATACAAAGTATATATACAACTAAAATTCAACAATATATACAGAAAGGGTGCTCCATATAAACGTCCCTATAGCTTAGTGAATGAGAATGCCACCACTCAAGTACTAGACCTTGCAGAGCCAGGGTGGGCTGCTTTGGTGGGTCCTCCCTCGGTCTTTCCCTGTGCATTTCCGGGGGTCTGGAGGTGAGGTGAGGTGAGGTGAGGTGGGGTGGGGGGCCGGGGGGGGGGTCCAAAGAGAGACAGTGGTTTCTTCTGCGTTGTTGCCCATTTCATTTTGATAAAGCATGCAGGTTTTGCTTCGTCGTTAATGCTCTAATCTTACAGGGTTTGTTTGCTTTTTTTTTCTTTTTCAAACAGTTCTCTTTTTTTCCTATTATTTTTTTTTGCCTTTTTCTTCCTTTATTTTCAATCTGGATTTGGTGAATACAAATGCAGGCGTGCGAATAGCCTCCCTTTCCTCGTGTAATGTCTTTAGTTCATTAATCAAGTAAAAACGTAGCCATGTATATTTGGGTTCTTCTTGGACTGGGGAAGAGAGGAGGAGAAAAAAAAGTCTGTAAAAAGTTTTGCTTTGACGTATACTCCAAAGAGAAAGAGGCTGGTGCCTTCAAGTCCAAATGAAAACATCCTAAAGAGAAATGTCTTATGTGCGCCAGAGGGAAAATTGTGTCTTTCTGTTCAAAATCAATCGCTGAGGTTACTTAAAAAAAAGCCACCCTGTCTCCTTGCCACACGTACAAGTCCATGCAGAGCCTGTTAGCTGGCATCGCTGGCAAGGCAGGGAGCCTCTTGCCATGGCGAGACTGGGCTTTTTTTCTCTCTCTCTTACTTCCTTTATTTCTGGACAGAGTATTTCTCTTGGACAATTCACATCATTTGTGGTCTCTGCATTGTGTCTTGATGTGGAGAGGAATACCAGTGAGAATACCCAGGCATGTAGCTGTTGGGAGGCATATTGACTCCCTTGGTGGAAGCTGAAACGTCCCAGACTGGAGGGAGGGCTGGCGAGCGCGGGGACAGGGCGGCGGAGCCCGGCAGAGGGTCGCTCTCGTGGGGGTTGCTTCCCTGCTTTAGCAGCTTCTTGAACTTGGAGCGTTTGTTCTGAAACCAGATCTTCACCTGGAAGCAAAAGGCAGGAGAGATTAGGCCGCGCGGGCTGGACCCACTGCCCAGGGACCCCCGGACATCGACATGTAGAGCAGGGGTGTCCCTGCCGCGAAGGAAGGGCTGGCGTTGCCCCGCAGCTGGGACCGTGCGGACTAACGGGTTATTAGTAATAACGGGCAGGGCGGGCACAGCTTTGCACAGGGAGCCCAGGCCAAAACAATGACTCGGCGCTCCAGGCAGTTTAAGCTCCTGGCTCACACACGTGCGTGCGAGTGCGTGTGTGTATAAGCGTGTCTTTACACTTATCCACGGATCCTCTCCTTCATTCGGGATTTTGGAGGTCATTTGATCAGTTGGGCAAACTGTTGTCAAACAGAGGGAATCATATGATCCTCTACTAGGAGACAGTAACCAATAGACAAAGGGCATCTCGAAAGGAAAAACGTGAATCAGAAAACAGGCACCAGCAAGCAGGGGAAGAGGCTGGCTAGGACGAGGATTGAGCTTTTATTTGAAAAGCACGACCTCTGCAGAGAGGGTCACCTCTTGGCCGCAGGAAGCGCGCTGGGCTTCAGCCTGGTACCTTTTGAATCGGGTCAAAATCTCCGATAAGGAGTTTTCCCCTGCACTGGGGCTGCAGGATCGGGCCCGTCCCGAATTACTGTAAGGTGACAGAGAAGGGTCTTACTTAAAGATTCAAACCACGGGCTGCAGCTCGCAGGTTAGTCTTTAGGTAAGTAAGGACACTACACCTCCGGGACCCGTCCGTCGTCCGGGGTGTTCAGGATCGGGCCCATAGCTCCGTGTGTGTGAGCACCCGCAATCTTTTCCAATGCCATTGGGATAATGACCAGATACGTTTACGTGTTTCGGGTCTGCTCCGGATTTTAAAATCGTCCCCATCAGCTAATGCTATCCATTGGCAGGCTGAAACACTGCAAGGCTTTGGGGGAGTCAGCACTGCACACTCTTACATTTCACAGGAGTCGACACCGTTTCTCCCTCTGCAAACCTCTGCTCGGGAAGCCTGTAATACCTGGTGTCTTTCAAGCTTAAATTAGCAGGCTAGCACCACTACACCAACCACACTTAACTATGGCTTAACCTGCTATAATTTTGTACACGGTTGGCTTTGATCTTCAGATCTATTATCACCTTTGGTACATTTTGCCCAAGGGTAAACACTGCATTTGAGTTAGTCATCCAGGATGAATTAACTATTGATTTTACAGGTATTGCCTAATGAGATCTTGCTTTCTCTGTATCTCTAGGTTGCTACCAGCTGGATTTTTATTTCAGCTCTTCCCTGAGAGCTGAAGGCCTAAGGTTTCCTTATTTTTTTTTCCCTTCACGATTGAACAGGTTGGTGAAGTAATTATTTTGATTTTTTTTTAGTGGTGTCATCCAGAGGGGAGCGTTTGTTCGCTACTGGGCTGGGGAACCGCAGATGCAGTTATTGCAGTGGCAGACCGTACGATCTGTCTCGCTTAGATATCGGATGGCATTAAGTACCGTACGGCATGGCACGTATTCCCTTCTCTACCGCCAAGTGCACAGGCCGAGATGTCTAGTGAAGCTCTGGCCCGGGCTGGCCTGGTACCGTGCGGCCAGGATCTCAGTGATTCGGGGTTCCCAGTAATTTACCTGTGTTTGAGTAAGTCCTAATGAAGCTGCCAGTTCAGCTCTCTCTGGAAGTGCCAGGTACTGGGTCTGCTGAAAGCGGTGATTTAAAGCTTGAAGTTGTAGGCTCGAATAAATGGTTCGTGGCTTCCGAATCTTTTTCCCTTTTCCATTGAATCTGATTTCCCCATTCTCGATCACTGTTGTTTTTTGCTGATCTGCAAGCAAACAACACACTTGAAATAGCACCAGGGCAGGGAACGCCGCACGCACTCGGCAGCTTCTGAACGTGGGCATTTTGTTTGCCAGGCACCCTCCGCACTCTCTCTGAACTGCAGCATGCAACAATGCCGGCTCGATCCCAGTACTCCAGTGTTGGCACACACATCCGCAAGGCTACAAGGCATCAGACAAGACTGACTCCGAGTAGAACCGTACCCATTTCCCCACGGAAGAAACTGTCCCTAGATTCTGGATGATTTATTTTGCTTGCAAAATACATATCTATCTATATAGCATTTGCTTTCACGGAGGGCTTGCTCATTCCATGGCCATTGAAATATCTATCTATCTATCTATCTATCTATCTATCTATCTATCTATCTATCATTTGCTTTAATGCAGGGCTTCTTTGGCCATCGAGGAGGGGGGGGGGTTGTTTTGTTTTTTACACGGCTAATTGACTTCACGTCGCCAGTTTGGTGGTCAGTGAATTCCCAGGTAGATACTTTTAACAGTGCTTTATTTATTGGTGTATTTAGTTAGTTAGTTAGTTTTTAATCTCAGGCGAATATATTAAAGAACGAGCTGCTAGCTGGAGGGAAAGGGGGGGGAGGGGGGGGGAATGGCACAGCAAACTCATCTTGCAACTTTCACTCCGCAGGTGTTAATAGTAATTCTCGCCCTGCGCCGGGAAACAAAGGAGCCCTGGCCACAGTCCTTAAGCTGCCTTGAAGCGCCCCCGACATGGTCCCCGGCCCGCGCCAGAGCCGGCCCGGCCCGGCGCGGTGTGTCCGGGCTGCAGGCCCGCGGTCACGGGCACCGCAAGCAAACAACCCCCCTCCCTCCCTGCTTTCCTCCTCCGCGGCCCCGGGCTCCGCGGGCAGAGATCGCGGCTGGGAGGCGAGGGGAAATGCGGCGCGCGAGCACTGGCATGTCTGGATCGCCCCGCAAACACATGCGTGTCCCTGCAAACACACACACACGCAGGCATGCAGGGCGG